TAAGTACCTTAATCCTACTTTGGAATTGTGTTTCCACCATAGTATGAAAAAATTCACATATTCTGTCAACTTCTGATTTCTCCTTCATTAGGAACACCCAAGTGACCCGTGTGTGATCGTCTATGAAGGTGACAAACCATCTTGATCCCATGACATTGTTTACCCATGATGGTCCCCATATATCGCTGTGAATTAGGGAGAAAGGTTGAGAGGGTTTATAGGGTTGAGGCGGGTATGAGTTGCAGGTATGTTTGGACAATTAACATATTTCACATTAAAACAACACCTGATATTTATTGAATAATGTGGGAAACATTCTTCTTATGTACATAAAATTTGACTGGCCAAGCCAATAGTGCCACAACATTACAAAATTTTTATTTTTAGGTACCACAGCACAAGAGTTGGCCTTGGGTTCCGCCTTTGATGCTTTAGTTTGGAGGCAGTAGAGTCCAACACATTCTTTAGCAATGTCAGTCTCCCCTGTCTCCAAAATCTGAAATTCATATAGGTTAGGGAAGAATTTAGTGGCACACTTCAAATCTTTTGTCAGTTTGCTAATGGACACTAAATTACAGTCAAGTTTAGGTACATAAAGGACTGACTTCAGCTTAATATTTTGTGAGATAATAACTGAACATTTACCCATGACTTGAGAAAGAGTCCTATCAACTATCCAAAATGTGTAATTATTATGGCAAGGAGTATAGCTTTTAAACACAATTAAGTCTCCAGTCATATGATCTGAGGCTCCTGAATCAATGATTCATGACTTTAATTTTCCTGCGCTAGTATTTAAAGCATGCAAGAAATTACCTTATTCTACTACTACAGTTGTATCTCTGTTGTGTTGCCTTTACTGTCCAGGTTTTTGTCTGTTTTTCGTTTGAAGGCTTGCCATAAATAATCCAGTTGGTGTCCTTAGTGTGTCCCAATTTCTTGCAGTGATCGTACCATGGTCTATTTTTCTTTGTATATGGACGAGATTGGTTCCCCCTTGCTGTCATTGTTGTGCCTTCAATGAGTGGGGTTGCACTTGACTTTCCAAGCATTACATTCCTTCTACTGTCCTCCCTTCTCACTTCCAAAAATAATTCCCAGATTATTTTAAGAGGTTTGGTTCCAAGGATTCTCCCTCGGACTTCATCAAGTTTTGTGTTCAGCTCCAATAGGAACTTGTAGATCCTATCTTTCTCCATCAATTTTTTATACTTCTTTGTATCCTCGACATAACTCCATTGAACGTCTTCATATATGTCTAGTTGTTCCCAATGTCTGCTTAGAGTATTTAAATACTCAATGACTGAGAAATCACCTTGTCACAGTTCATGGAGTATACTCTTGATCTCAAATATTGCAGACGTATTGTCCACATTTGAGTAGGTTTCCTTCACTGCATTTTGCATCTCCTTGGCAGTGTCATAGTACATGAAATTCTCCCCAATTTCATTGGTCATGGTGTTAAGTAACATGACATGACTTTACTTAGAGTATCCGGTGATGTAACCTTCCTTTCCTTTTTCCTTGAAGAAAGATTTTAACTGACCCAATGAGGATAATTTTGGCCATCAATTTGTGACTAGTGATAGGAAGAGCAAGTCCTTCGACCAAACTAGTGGTCCAACCTCCTACCTTGTTCTCTTCCATGGTTGGTTGCGCTAGATTAGGGATGGTCCAGATCGAGCTCTGATATTATGCGGAAAATACGTTGTGTATTCTTATTCTTGGAAAAGATACAAAGGATGTATAAATAAAATACAATGTAATAAACCTATACACTAATTTGTTAGAAAAAGAGGCTGAGATCAAGAGGGGGGTGAATTGATCTTTGAAAGATTTTCGCAATTTACAGATTATTTATTTTAAAGATTAAGAGTTTTGACCAATTCTTGAACCAAGTAAATCAAGTTATTCAAAGTAAGACAACATTAGAATTAAAGAGAGTAAATTTTAGAGAAATACAACCAAGATTTATACTGGTTCACCCAATCCCAGGGCTACGTCCAGTTCTCAGCCAAATTCCAACTGAGTTCCACTAGATTGAATGTTTTACAGATTCCAATCATACACTCAATATACCACAAGAACCAAAATTCCAGTCCTTGCACCTAAACCTTCACCAAAAACCAACTTCCAGTTCTTGAACCAACCTACAGCCAAATTCCAGCTACAGAACCAGTGCCCAACAATTCCAGACACCCAAAATACAGTAAAGAAATGTAAAGAAACAAAGAGAAGAAACTAGAACAATCAAACCCGGATTATGAAGCTCTGTAGAATGAGTTTCTTCACAAAAGAAATGCAAAAATTGCCTCAAGAAAGAACTTTGAAAAATTCCACAAAACTTGTGTGATTTTTTCTTGAAAGTAGCTCTTATGATTGCTTAATACATTGCTCAAAAGTATATTTCAAAAGACTCAAGAAATCCTGTTTATACAGAGATTTGTTCTAATTGCTGGTTTAATTAATCTATTAAAACAATCTTTTAATATGTTAAAAGTCTTGAATTAATCTGTTAAAACTTCTTTTAATCTGTTAAAATGTTCTTGATCATTTTCCAGATTTGTTTTAACTGATGTGAGATTGTTTTAATTGATTAAAACACTTTGTAAAAAATCATTTAATTTGTTTTAATCGATTAATTCACAATTTAATCGATTAAAATTCTGCCAAATATTTTCATAAAACTTTCTAAGTGATTTTAACTGATAACAGCCAGTTTTAATCGATTAAAACAGTTAGCAGAAATTCTCTTAAATTGTTTTAATCGATTAATTCGATTTTACATCGATTAAAATTCTGACAGAACACCTTTTAAATATTTTAAGTTGTTTTAATCGATTATTTCGAGTTTGTATCGATTAAAATACTGACAGAACATCTTTCAAAACACTTCAAGTTATTTTAATCGATTGTTTCAAGTTTGTATTGATTAAAATACTGACAGAACATCTTTCAAAGCAATTTAAGTTATTTTAATCGATTATTTCGAGTTTGTATTGATTAAAATACTGCCAGAACACTTTCCAAAACATTTTAAGTGATTTTAATCGATTATTTCGAAACTATATCAGTTAAAATACTGGCAGAAGGTTTTCAAAAACTCCTTTAATGAAAATAATCGATTAATTTGAAAGTGTATCGATTAAAACAGTTCTAATGAATGTTTTAAAAGGTTTTAATCGATTATTTCGAAAACCTATTAGTTAAAAATTTGTTATGTAAGTTTTAAGAACATTTTAATTGATAAAGCTCATATAATATCAGTTAAACAATTTCTTAAAAACCATTTAACCGATTACTTTGGTTTTTAACCAATTAAACATGTTTAGAGGCATTTTCAAAATCTTTTAAATGATGAAACCTCATGCAGCAGGGAGATATGAATGATTATACCTATGTATAGATGCAGACTCACTAATCACTCTACCCTTTTAACCAAGTAACCTTTGACTTCATCATAATAGTCTTTGACTTCATCAAATCAACAAGATCTTCGTTTTATCAAATGATTCAATAAGATCTTCATCACTTTCATAATCTATCCTTAAAATTAGGGAAATATTTTCCCTATAAATGTTGTGCATAAATAAAGAAATAAAACTGATTATATTATCATTAAATCTTATCATAATTGAATTATTCTAATTGATAGTGTTGATATCCAACACTTATTAACGAGACTAAGGAGTCGAGATCCCCTCACGATGACAATGATCACGAAACCCACACCACCAACCCTGCAGGGTTGATGATTTCGGGTGCGAGTCTTTTTGGACACGCTTACGTCGATTACTTATAGTATGACATAAATTTACATAGGTTATGGTATGATCTGACATAAATTTATATTGATTAATTACTTCGACGTAAATTTATGACTCTCGTATTGATGTCGGAACTTAGTAAAATGTAAAAAGTCCAAAATAACAAATGTAAAAAGCCTCTGATGTCGGAACTTAGTAAAATGTAAAAAGTCCAAAATAACAAATGTAAAAAGCCTCTGGTGTACTAGTGACAATATTGATAACAGTTATAACAAAGATGAGGATATGGTGTTGAAAAAGAGGAAATGTTATTCAATTAAAAATAGGGTGAGATGTTATTGGTGGAAAATTTTGGCCCTAAAACAATCCCTTAGGATGGGAGGTGTAGAAAGTACATAATTGGTCCAAGAGGGTAGGGGTTGGTGGCAGTGACAGTGAGAAAAAGTTGAAACTTAAGTTCATCACGTTAAGAGAAAAACATCAATAACTAGATTTCCCTTATCTAATGAATAGAAAATTTCACAGTTGAATCCAAGAGAGTTGGTGTTTAAATAACGTGAGTCATGAGTCCCTAAAGGTTCTTTTGGTTATAAATTCTAAATTTTCTCCCAAACAAGTAGTGGCCCCACTTACAAACAACTTCCATTATGACATACATTTAACACTCGTAGGTCAATGACTCTACTTCTTAACTTTCATCTTCTTGTTGATGTACTCCAAAGGTTCCTCTCTCGAGATAAAATGTAAGGACTTGTGTCGTCACTCCAAATTTTTGTGTGATCATTTCCCTTTCTAAAGTTGTAAATGGAAGGACTTGTGTTTCTAAATTATAAATAAGTATATGATTAAATTTAAATATGTTTAATATTAATTTATTTTTATAAAATGTCTAATGTGATATATATGTTATGATGAGTAAAGCTAAATAACAAAAATTTGGTTTCCTTTAGACTTTTCATAGAAGCTTAATAGATAAAAAAATTGACATTTTATTTTATTTTCTATAGAATACCATTAATAATCTTCTTAGCTTTCAAAATCTCGTTACTCTTTCCACATTAGAAACTTATGCTCTCATTTCTCCTTCTTTTGTGCTTGTCACCTTCTAAGACAACTAAAAGATAAAATAAAACCTTCATTTGATTTTTGTTTTCTTTTTCTAAGTCATCTTTATTTCATTTAAATTTTTTTATATTCTTCTAAAACATATAAGCATTTAGATTTATTGGGTAAATGAGTTGTGTGAGTTTGAATTTTGATTGTGGTTGTTTTATAACTAGGTTTGTCTCCTTAAAGGAATCTATAAGTTTATTTAGTATTACTGGCTCATCCTTCTCTTTGCAACTTATATACCTAAAAAAGGCAAGGGAAAATCAAGATAAGGAAAGTTAAATCTTAATCTTAAATTTATCTATAAGAGAACAAATAAAATTTGATAGTAATATATATGATAAATCAATGATTTTCCAATTAGAGAATTTGTTGTTGATTTCTCTATTATTTTGAAATAATTTTTTAGGGAGTACAATTAAGAGAGGAGATTAAGGATGAGTTAAGGGAGGAGCCAGGATAAGAGGAGCCCAGATAAGAGGTCATAAAGATTGTGACACAAAACTTATGATAGCAGTTTGACCAATGATTGATGAGGCTAGGGCTCTCCCAATAGGCAACTGCTGCAAATGTACCATTAGGGGAGGACACAAATCATCCTATCAAGTGTGAGCTTTATGTTGAAGACATTGATTCCCCCTGGTTGATGGCATTTGGGAAGATGTTTGGAGGGTTCAATGTGTTACATAATGTACCTCTTCCTGCTCATTTGGTTAAGGTCATGATTGAGAAAGTTCGTAATGATAGTGTTATTGTGATCATGCCAATAGATGAGGTTACTAATGTAGCACAAATACTTAAAACTTTCATTGACCAGCCTAGACATCTAGTTAGTCTCATATCAGATAACACGGTATGATAATGGCAATCATATGTTTGATTCTTGCATATTATATTATTTTTAATATTAATATTATTTAAGTGCAGTCACACCCAGAAAGATGGGAAAAAGAAGAAGCAATATAGTACCAGTGACCCTTTGTCTTCATTGTTGGATGTTTCCAAGGCCATTAGTAACAATCCAATTGAGGTGTCATGGGATTCTATCATTTTTGGAAGGGAGAGTGATAGCTCATTATATTTACACATGTCTCACATGTTAGAGATTGCAATAAAAAATCTAGAACTTAACATATCTGTTATGCACTTGTGGATAATATAAGTTATTTAAAACTAAAGTTCTTACTATTTTAGTTATTGAAATATTAATTATTATGGCACTTGTTGTAGGTATCTATCCCAGTTATATGTAAGTGAGGGGAAAGATGAAGTGTATAGATTTTTAGACCCTTAACTCGTTCAACCACTAGGTAATAAGAAGTCAGAGACACAAACATACATCACAAGTAGTCTCTTATCTGGAAAAAAGATTTATTTTGCACCATATGTTTATGTGTAAGTAAATTCTCTTTATAATTTATTTTTAATTAATTTCAATTTTAACTAACTTCCAATATATAGTCATCATTGACAATTATTTGTCATACTATGATTGACAACACAATTGCATGGTTTTGTTCATTGCATAAAAAGCCACAATTGTACCTTAAGCAAATAACAGATTGGCAACAAAATTAAGTTGTTTTTATATAAATTATATTACAATTATATTTTTTATATTTTTTAACTAAGTGTATATGTTATTAGTGTTTATTTTGGATATAACATAATGAGTGGTAGGTTAAGTTAAAGACTGCAAAAACTCACGTGGTTGCATCTAAAGGTATAATCTATGGTATTTATTTTGGTTTATTTTTGTTAATAACAAACTAATTAAAATTCTATATTTTGAGAAATAGTGTAACAGACAATATGGAGGATATGAGTGTGGTTACTATGTATTGCAATGAATGACAACCATTATCCAAATAAGAATAGATAGAGGTTGAGATCAGATAAGACAATTAATATTTATTTAAAAATTATTAGGTACCATAATGATACTTATGAAAATTTATTTACCATATTGTAGTTTTTTTATGAACACATCTCGATGGATACAGATGCCATAAATTATATTAGATGTACATGGACAATGTATTTCATCAACATGATTAATACATTAGGATAGCTTAGTTTTTGTTAAAACAAAACTATGTATATGATCATGACTTTATGGTTCAACCTTAGGATAGTTGACAGATTATTGTTATACATCTAGGATAGTTACTAATTATACGTGTAGGATTTATAATGACTTTGTAGGATTTTAGTAAAACTAATATTAGATAATAAGTATTATATATATTTATGATTTTTTATGTAATGTAAATATGTCTGAAATCTATATTATATTATATTGTGTATTTTAAATATACAGGTATTGGGAAAGAGCCTAAAACATATTACTTTTTAAAATAAATAAATAAAAGATACAATGACAATTAATATCATTACCGTCATCATATGCATGTTTGACGCAAATTTTTGTATGATAAAACCCGCTATTGTATATGACATATAATGACGGATAAAGATTCGTCGTTATATCTCTTACATACAACAACAACTTCATTAATAACAAATTCTAAACTGGCATGATACACTAAATTTAATTATCATTAATAATCATTGTTACAGTAGTGTTAATATATCGTAGTAACAACATACAATTTGATTTTTATACAAATGACTAAATCAAAGTTTAATTGGTTTAGAAAATTTTTATCTTTTGATTGTCTACTTATTTATCCATATTATAATAATAATAATAATAATAATAATAATAATAATAATAATAATAATAATATTATTATTATTATTATTATTATTATTAATGTTTGTGTTTAAATGATTTTGTGAGACGAGCTGAATGAGGAAATAAAATATCTATTATGATTTAGATATGTTTTGATAAGAATAATTATTATCAAGATTAATAGGAGCTACCCTATCATATGTATGTTCCAGGAAGGAACAAAATTGTAAATGGATTTTTGAACTAAGTGCATTTTGGCATCTTGATTCTATTTAGGAACAAAATCATGGATCCAATTCTTTAACTTAAGTAGACTTTAACATGAAAAGTGTTAGCTTGGGTTCAATGTAGTTGAGTTTTCTAAAAGTCGTCTAAATCTATTTTAATTTTAGAAGTTATTTGTGTATATGAGATTGATGCGATGATTCCAGAGAATAATTGAAAACTTAATTATATGATTATTTTGATATAATTACTTTATTTTGTTTATTATGTTATGTGTTGGATAAATCTTCTAGGCAGGAATAGAGACTTACTCAAAAATATTTTTAGGGCATATATATAAATTTTACTTTTAAGATTTAATTTGAATATCACTTTGGGGTGACTAAAACTTTGCAAATATTTATTGTAATAAACAAAGATAAATTACTTATGCAAATATATCTTTGTTTTTTTTAAGAATTAACAGAATATCTTATCATGAATGGATGAATTGAGAAAGGAGAAATTAACTTACGGATTTATAAGTGAAATCATTGCGTGTTAGTTTTATTATAATTACAAATTGGTTGACATAGAATAATGTTTGCATGTATATATAAATTATATATCTTGTTGAATTATTTCTATTTTTCTTATAAACGTGGAGATGAGGAAATGAAATTAAAGAACTAATAAGACAATTTTGCTTTCAAAATTTTGTGTGATTTTGTAATTTTGTCAAGGTTCATTACAAAGCATAATAAATTTGTTAAAGGAGCAACTAGTGTATAGCATAATGACAAATAAAACACTTGTAATATCTTGTTAAGCAAAAAAAAAAAACCCACGTGACTAGGTAAGACAATTAGGAATGGGTCAATTTGTATTGATCCGTAACTTGGCATGACCAACCTACACTTTTATCATAGAAATTCTATGCCCTAAATACTCAACCTTAGAAATCCCGAAATGTCTTGTGAAAAATTTGGCAAAAAAATTATTAAATCACCTGAGGGACATAGGTAAGCGCAAAGGTTAACTAAAAATTTGAAATGAATTCATAAAACGATTTTAGACATATTTTCCAAAACCAAACAAATTTGATGATAATCGGATCTTAATCCAATTTTAGAAAAAAAAAAAAAGAAAAAGAAAAGAAACCCTTGTCACATTCATCTAATAATTGGATTGAGAAAGCTATCGCTATGTTAGTAGAAAATCGAGAAAAGCGATCGAAAATGAGGGAAAGGAAAGAGAGAACACGTGACTGATAAAAAATCATTCGATGTCTAAAGTACGTAACACATAACATCGATAAGTACAATCGAGAATCGAAGGAACGATAGTCAAATGCCTATTGTCGAAACCTAAGAAACTAGAATGATAAGACGTTAAGGTTGAAAAGGAATCGTAAGCAATTCGAAGTTCTCAAAAGTGTAAAATCGAAAATGAAGAAAGCTAACCTACACGGACATCGAAAACCTTGGCCAAACCATAAAGAGAAGAGTAAGTCAAACGCACGGATAGAGAGCAATTTCTAAACCATGGAGGAAATCAAAGATCGTGAGAACGTGGAAAACCGTAGGAGATAAACCGCCATATGCACGTAGAACGTGGTAGCAGTCGTGTTAACTGCTCTTGGAAGACTTGAACGATGCACTATAAATAGAGCAAAGAAGGAAGAAATAGGGGGCAGAAATTGGCAGAGAACAGAATCAGTAGTGAAAAGTCTACCGGAGAAACGACGAACACCATGAAGTTTCTGGCAATCTGGATTTCCTTGCTCGCTGAGTACATTTACCGCTTTCTGTATTTTCCTTGGTAATTTACTTTGATGCAATTTACATTCAGCAGTTTTTTTTTTTTGGTATTTTCGATTCCTTGTCATTTCAATTCAATGAAAGTTTAAGTTTCTGTATTTACGATTTTCTGTTAACATTCTGCAAATCTCGATTTCCTGTCATTTACTTTTCTTGCAATCTCGATTTCTTGTCATTTATATTTGCGCTATTTTCGATTTCTTGTCATTTATATTTGTGCTATTTTCGATTTCTTGTCATTTACAATTAATGCAAATTTGGGGTTTTCGCACTTTACAGTTCCTCACAAATTAATATTCCGTTTCTCGATTCGATACTTTTATTGCTTTCGGTATTTTAAATATAAAATACTAAAAAATAGCATTTGATATTCTGTGACTTTCGATTCTCATACACGTTGTCGATTGAAAGTCAGACTGCTAGCCTAAGTAAAAAGAACTTACGTGGTAGAATTTTGATTAGGATCAAAATATCTCAGGAAACGAAATCGATCGAAATTCCACCAGAAACAAATTGGCGCGCCAGGTAGGGGCTTCTTGTGTTGAGAAACACAAAATTGGTTAGTTCGAGAGTGTATGAGATTAAGGAGTGGGAGAGTCATGAGTCAGAGTTCATCAAGTAACCAGAGTAACACTGAGGGATTAAATGGGTCACACCCACCAAATACTGGGGGGCAAAGTCAGAATGGGAATACACCTGTAGTATCGACAACTGTAAGTATGTCGATACCCGTGAGTAATGAACAAAACTCAGGCACTTTAGCAAATACCCAAGTAGGATCTAGCACGGTGGCACTAAACAGTATGCCAACTATGGGAAACCCTATAACAACAAATGCTGGGCCGTATATGAGTATAAGACCACCTGGGTTTTCGCTTAACATGAATGGGGTTGGTACTTCTTCGATGCAACGAAATTCGAGATATAACTTAGGAACATTTCAAACCCTAGGTATGCCACGGAATCTTGGAGCATCTCCAAACCTAGGAACATCTCAAAATTTAGTAATTCCCCAGAACTCAGGGAATGTGCAGAATGTAGGAACGCAGCAAATACCTCCAAATCTAGATCATAGAGGAAATGTAGATCATGGGAGATATACATTCGATAGGGATTATCATCGATCTAATTTTGATA